AGAATCACACCGATGCAGCGGTCGCATGCTAACCCTGTGTGCGGGTGCTTTTTAAAAACAATACGATGGTTACGTCTGTACCGAGACAATCTAACCTGGGTGATTTCTGTGCTGTTACCGGATCACCAAACCCTTCCAAATCCGGCTTTCTCTTTTCAGAGGACAGATTCATCAGGATGTGCCTCTGGATTGGGTACTTAGGATGGGCAAATTTTACCTGTCAGAGAAGATGAATTGAAGGGGACCGGTTTTCATTTCATGTCTAATTCTTTGTTACTTCCAGGTTTTCTTTTCTCGTATGTGTATGCGGCATTTCTGTTGTAGACAGAGTTTCTGTCTTCAACGGCTTGTCTGACTCCAGGGCAGAAGGCTTGTTTGGCAGAGTCTCACCATACCTGTAGCATGATTTGGGGTTTTATCAACCAGTGCTTTACGCTGCACTTCAGGTAGCTGGGCTGAGTCTGCTTGTTACCCATGCAGTCTCAAAGTTGGTCTGCCATGGCCAGCAATTTGAGGCATGTCGCCATGGCGCAGAGCCCATGATCTAACGGGAAGGATGCTTGTGCATTCCCAGTGCCTCTGCACAACGTGTGTTGCACTGCATTGTGTCTTGTAGACGTGCGCGTGCTGGAAGTACAGCCCTTTCAGGCTTTGAGGTGTTGAGGAGGGCTGTCATTTCTCCTTGTCACATGCCAGCTTTTTCCTGTCACCTCCGTATTGGCAGCATTTCCAGATGCTGCTTACACTAGTGTTTCTTGGCCTCCTTGATAACCCATGTACAAAACATTTGGAACGACTCGCCTGTTGCTTAAATAGCTTCATTACAATCCAGCGTGGTATACGTGTTTCTGCTAATCCCAAAGGGCCCTGTCTTTATTGGCACTGTCATTAGTAGCAACATTTGCATAAATGTTCACTAAAAGAATAGCTTAATTAATAAACTGGGTGTCAGTACGAAAAGACCTGTCCTAATGACGAGAGTATAGTGGTATGCTAAGTAGCTTGAAATGAGTCTAATTACTGTTAAAAACACACTTTTTATTGATATCCACGCGTCTTGTAATGGGTAACAGTTTTACTGATGTTTTTCGGCAAACCGTGATGTCTCCCACTCCTGCATCCTTTTCTCCCCAGCCTACCCGTGATTCAGTTATTGTACGATATAACTTTCCTTTGAAGTTACCAAGATCAGATGTCATAGTAAAGTAAGTAGGCAACACTCAATTCAGACCGTAAACGTTAAGTGACTAGAACCTATTTGATGCTCTGGTTGAGACCCTCAAGGTGTCTTGCCATTAGATCACTTAAGAAATAGCAGGTGATTTAACATCCAGATGTGGGGGAAAGCCCTTGGCTTGGAACGCTTGAATTCTAACCAGCCATCAAGCAGGCAAAAGATACAACAGCAGCAAGAAGCAATGGTTGAATGATGAAGGTTAATTCTTTCTGTCAATGAGGATCCCACTGTGGGTTCTTGAAACAAGACCAAGCTTTTTCCTAGATGAAGCATGCCCTGTCCTGCCCTGGATCCTGTATGAAGGCCATGGGGAGTGCAATCATGACCTTCCCCTGGTCCATATTACTGTGGCAGGCAGTGGCAACAAGATGGGTGGCATCTGATATGGCCAAGACCAGGAGGGCAGTATGCAACTACTGTTAGACTGACATAGCTCAAGTTCCTTGCTCCTAATAACCAGAGAGCATACTGTGACTAGTGTCCTAAACTAGGACCCATCTGACACTTCCTTGAAGAATGGTTGCTTGGTCTATAGCACCTTTAATTCTTCAAGGTGATGTGATCCGTGTAGATCCTGCCCCCCATTTCTGCTTTCCCGATTTCTCACCAATACAGCGTTTGTGTTGCGAGGGAGAGCTGTGATCCTTGTTCTGCCCCTCTCGCCTTCCAGAGGAAGCATAGGACTTGTGCATGGTCCGGGGGACATTACCAGTCAAGAAAAACCCACTCCCATGTATGCGAGGCTCATGTAGTCATGAGGCTGCAACATCTCAGGCCCCAAAATAAGGAACCTTGTAAGGAAATTCCACATTATGAATTTTTTTCTTTTTTTCACATGTTCTATCTTTCACTTCTAACACTTCTTTGAGGGCATCGCTAGGCCTTTTGTTCCTCAAAACACATTTCTTCCAAGACTTGGAGATGAGAGCTATGACAGGCCAGTTATTGGTGAAGCTTACGGAGAGAAATGACTGGCAGGGAAATACCACAAGACCAATAGCAGTAGCTAAACTGTGAAGGGCCTGTAAGCCAAGCACATTGAGGTTATGGAGAACATTAAAGAACTATTTAAATTAAACTCTACAGCTGATGCCTGCTGTGAAGGAGTGGTGGGGGGATGACTCTTCAAGTTTTAACACTATTTACAACATTGCTGGAACCTCGCAGCAAAGTATTTTCACAGTGAATAAGTGACACTCCTCTGCCAGATTTGGAGATCTTGCTAAAACTCAGAACACCATTAGTCTGTGTTGGCCTGTCTGCAAATGGGAATCTGCAATCTGAAGTGCAGACAGTTCATGAAAAGAACTTCAGGAAGCTTGTGCTGAGCAGGGGTTACTCTTCTGGGAGTACTAAAAGATGAGGACCTTCACTTAAGACTTTCTGCCTCTTGGAAGTAAGAAAATATCAAGGAAAATGTTAAGACAGTAACCAGGTGAGAAGGAACGGCCAAGGTGGATTTGTCAAGAGGAAGTCATGCTTGTCAAATTGATATCCTTCTCTGGCATTTTAAGGTTTCTCTGGTTGGGGAGGAAGGTTGTGGATGGAGCGGTAGATACCATTAAGCATGGACTTTTAATGAGAGTTTTAATACAGTCTCCCATGCCATTATACTTTGACTTTATTACAGGTATCTACATGAAACTATAAGGTGGCTGCAAAACTATTAGATCTTCATATCCAAAGACCCTAGGGAGTCCAGTTTAACAACTCAGTTAATGACTTGGAGGATGGAATTGTGTGCGTTCTTAATGAATTTGTAGATGGATACAAAGCTAGGTGGGATAGTTTGAATCCTAATCCTGCCCTCCAAAGTGCTGCTGATTTAGAAACATTGCAAAAAAGATCTGAAATTAAATGAAATTCAGTAAAGATCAGTGCAAAGCTAGGCATTTAAATAATCAAGTGCACAAGTGCCAATTGGAGAACAACTTCATTGTCATTCAGTACTGCAGAAAAGGGCCTAAGGGGCAGTGTGGACTGCAGGCTTATTGTGAATCACCAGTGTGCTATTGCAAAAACAAGCCAGTAGCGTACTGGGATTTATTAACAGGAGTGTCGCAGGCTGGTGACACAAAGCAGTTCTTCCAATCTGTTTAGCTCGGATTAGTCCTCATTTGCATTAGCGTGTCCAGTTTTTCACTTCGAGAAAGGTGTAGAAACAAATTAGAGTCCAGACAAGAGAACACTAGAAATGAAGAGAAATCTGGGAAACATGATTTACGAGGAAAGGCTGGAAGCACTGGGATTATTTAGTCTGGAAAAGAAAAAGCTGGGAGTGGGAAGTGTTTGATAGTAGTCTTTAAATACAAAAAGTGCTGTTATAAAGGAAATAGGAACTGGCATTTCTGCATGCATAGAAATTTTTAAGCAAGCTTAAATTGTTCTCCAACTATTTAGTTGGTCTAATAAAAGATATCAGATTCACCCAAAGAGCCTTGTCTACCCATGTCCTTAGACCAACACGGCTACAACCTGCACCCTTGTAAGTTAGAGCTTATGCCCTGAAACAGATTCCCTAGAGCAGCGTTTCTCAGCCCCTGGGTCATGACCCAAAAGTGGGTTGCAAGAATATATGAAAGGGTCGCAAACAAACTTTCAAAATGGATTTTCCTTTAAATGAGAAAAATGGGGGAAACGGTGGCTTTTCCCTTGCAGAGTTCCAGCCTGCAAGGGGCTGCTTGGGGCCCCCCTGCCCACACACTCGGTGGCTGGGGCCTGGGGATAGCAGGTCGGGAGTGAGGGGCACTGGCCATCAATGTTTACAAATGGGTCCTGGTACAAGAGAGGTTGAGAAACGCTGCCCTAGAGCAGCAGTCCATGGCCAGCTTTGGGCCAGATTGAGTCGGAGATGGTTGGGTGCTAGGATCCAGGTGCTGCTGCTGCTTTTCCCCACCACTGGCATGGAGAGAACATCTGCTGCTGCTGAGGCTTTTCCCCACGCCCACCACTGCCACTTTCCCCTGCAACTGCTGCAGAAGCTCCCTGCCACCCAGTGCCCCTGGAGCTTGCCCACAGGCTGATCACTGTCCTAGAGACTGTGGCATCTTCATCATATGAAGTTTTTAAATGCAGGTTTAGCTGGGATGGATTAGGCAGGGATGATCCTGCCTTGAGCAGGGGATTGGACTAGATGACCTCCCTGAGGTCCTCTTCCAGCCCTACTTTTTTGTTCTGTGACTTCTAAGACTGGACTGTTTACACAAATTAAACAGTTGGTATAACATCTTGTAAGATGGTGTCCACCTGTTTTGGTGTCTTGCAGCCTCCAGCATTTAAGGTCTAAGTAAGAGAGAGGAACAGTGGAAAAAACCCTGGTCAGACCCATTTCACTCTCCCTTTCAACATCCGCTCTCTGCCACTGTGACACATGATCCTGGGCAAGGCGGACCCTTGGTCTGACGCAGTAAATGGCAGTTCTTATGTGAAATTATAGCATCACTTGGATGTTATAGAATTGCAGGATAGCTCTGACCTTTTATAGGGCTGTAACTGTTGACTCCCGTCTTCCCAGGTGATCTGTATAGCTCCAAAGAGCACATGGACTTTAATGTCATCTCGCCTGATATATCTTCCTTTTAAACTAAAGCCAGATAACTTGGCTTAAGTATCTAGATATCCAGTGTTGCATAACTTTCTCAAACCAGTCTTCAGAGTAGAACAGGAGACCTCAGTAAATTCTGCAATTAATGACCAAGTATGATAGTCATAATGGCTACTCTGACTGCTGACTTATGTGTCCTTGCGTTCCTTCTCTTCACAGATGGAGCTGAAGAAGAAAAAATGGAAACTGAGACAGATGGGCAACAGTCAGAAAAGGTGAGTATCTGAGCCTTCAATCTTTGTGTGGTACTTCCTGAAGTTTGCCGTTTGCAATAAAGTTGGCAATAATTATTACTTTTGTATTGCAGCAGCGTCAAAAATCATGGCAGTGTTGCGCTAGCCGCTTTACACATGTATAATGAAAACGTGGACCCTGCCCTAAACAGCTTGCAGTCCTAGAGCACCTTGTTTGGCCTCAGCTTAGTGTTTGGGTCACTCTGCTGTTTTAAGATTGGTCAGGGTGGAGTTGTGGGGGCAAAGTGAGAGGAGTCACTCAGCCTGTCCTTCAGTCCCTGCCAGCCCCAGAGCAGCAAGGAGTACAGGGGTAGAAGTGGAAATGTCGATAAGAGCCCTGGAGAAGCTGCACTAGGAACTCCTGATACGTTCTGCACTAGAATCATAGAAAAAACGGGTTGGAAGGGACCTCCAGAAGTAATCTAATCCAGTCCCCTCTCCAGTAGTAGGATCATCCCTATCCAAACCATCTTATACAAATCCATGATCAACTTCCCAGCAAACCTACACAGTCAGCCCTGACACGATACAAGGCCTAACTCCCTAATTTGCCACAAGTAAAGCAGGGGGGACCATAGCAACCAATGTCCTGCTGCTGGAAAGGTTGTTAAAATACACTCGAGAGATCCAAGGAAGAGGGCACACTCCCATCAAAATCCCCAGTGTTGGCTGCAGCCAACATCCAGTGGTTTTGAGAGAGGTAAAAAAAAACAAAAACAAAACCCATGTTGCAGCAGGAGGGAGAAAAAAATGTCCCAGTCCCAGTGGCAACCAGTAAAACCCAGAAGCATGGGACATACCCATAGGAGAGCATAGGCACTGTTACTCTTTGTTCATCCCTGAACAATACCTGTTCAACCTGCTTCTCTTGAGCACCCCAATGATGAAGAGTCCACAGCTTCCCTAGGCATCTGTTCCACTACCTCCCTGCTCTAACAGGGAGTTAAGTTTTTACTGATATTCAATCTAAACCTATTTTGCTGCAGCTTCAAACCACTGGTCTGCATCTTGTTCTCTGCAACAACAAAAGGTGTTGCAGCGGCACCGATTCAGGATTTGAAACATCACATGGGAGCCTTGTGGCTGCACTTAGCTTCCTTCGGTGAGAAATTGTCTCCTCAGGGTTGAGAACCATTCATTTGGTACAAGACCAGCAGAGAGGAGTGCCATCCAAGAAAGTTTCCTGTATTCAGCGCTTTGTAAAACATTGTGTTGGACTGCCCGTGTAATCCATTTTCAGAGCTGGCATATAGAGGATGTTGAGAGGACAGAAACAACAAACATAGTTCTTGCATTTCTATTTTGGGTATCATTTGGAGCTGGTGGGCAGCTGGAGTGAAGTCTTTTGTCCACGGAAGTGTTCCAGTGCAGGTCGTGATGGCATAGGGGTCTTCTGCCAGTGTGACTTGGCCCTGGTTTAGGGCTTGTTCCTACGCTAAGTGTAGTCAGAGGCAAATTCTTGTTGGCTTCAGTGTGTGCAAGATCAAATGCTTTCTACCAGGCAGTCTGGCCTGCCTCTTCCGTCTATGCATCTTCATGGAGAGTATCAGCAGGAGCAGACACTTGTGACAGTGACTTGGTGGGCAGTAGCTCCTTTCGTATAGCAGAGCTGTCCATTACTAAAGGCAGTGACTTCTGACCTGGACTGGATTCAGACTTGTGCCCTAGGGCTTTACTGAAGATAAAGCTTGAAGTTGCTGTGTTTGCTCTTATCTGTCATACTTCCTTGTCATCCCATTTTTTCAGTCAAATAAATGAAATGTTACTGGCTATAATAGCATGCAAAGTGCATCGTTCTAGATGTTACTTCTTGCTTACTGTATTCTTCTCTTGCATAATTTTTACATTGCTTTTTTGAAAGATGTGTAAATATAGCACATGGTAAACAAGAGCATGAAAATAATTGATCCAGACTTCTTGGAAAATGATTCATCATCTTGTAGAACAGAATAGATTGGACGTATTTAAGAGTTCAGATTGAATTCCAAATGGAGAAGTATTTGTCACCTCTAGCTTTCTCCATGAAACCACTGCTGATTTTCTTATACAGTTGAAGGCCCCTGAGTTTTAAAAAGAGAGAATCCCTGAAGGAAACACTTTATTCTGTTTACAAAAGTGTGATCTAAGGAGTGGAAATGCTTATTGCTCCACTCTAGCTACAGGGCAAAAAGGCTTTTTCACACAGTGAGTAATTAGGCTGCAGCTTTCAAGGCCTCAGATATATCTAGTGGCAATGAATTTAGCAAAATTCAAAATAGGAATAGACATCTGGATTGTCATCAAGGAGATCCAGGTTCATTACATCCAATGTAACAGATTTTCCAAGGGATGCAGCACCTTCTATGCAGCAGGTTTTAAGCCCAGCCCTAACCAATAGGTGCTGAAATGAGATGACAGGTAGGAGCCAGGACAGGTCGGTGCATATTTCCTGCTGCCAAATTTTTGTTGCCTTTTCAGTCGAAACATCTGCTGTCCATTTCTGACTGCTGGGTTCCCAGACTGAATAGACTGTCTGATCCAGTGTGGTCATCCCTGTTTCCCCCCAAAAAATTGATCTTGCTTTTCAAATGCATCTCAAAAAATTAATTAAGTTTTACTCTACCTTCCTAGGGATGTTGGAACAATTTTAAAATGGAGTTGTGAACCACACTAATGTTGTATGTCTCTTATCTTTTCTCTTCTGCTCTGCCTCCCTCTCCCTTCTACCCGCCAGGTGGAAAGTAAAGGAGAAGGTGAAATGGAGGAAGGTGAAAAAGTTCAGGAAGGAGAAAATGAGAGAAATCCAGAAAAGGAGCAAGACAGTGAAGTGACTGCTGATGTCAAGTCAGGTAATAGATAGTGGCTGTTACTCAACTGCATGTTACCTTTAATAGCCTTTCTCCAAAGATGTAGGAAGAGACTATAAACTTAATTGTGGCAGAAATATTTCCTCTCGCACATCAGGCCTGCTGCTTGGTTCGGCAGTAAATATTCCATTTTAATTTCACTGCAGAGCTCTAGCACTAAATTCTTTCATGAAAGCAATTTAGACTTCAGTTGGAGCCTTTTTTCATATTGTCGGTAAATGAGTAGATGAATAAATTGCTGTACTGAAGTGGGCACATGCAGCATAAAGGAGTTCCCCCCCGATTGCCATGCCACTGGTCTCTTCCACATGCAAAGGGGCAGACAGTCGGAGTTGCTTTTATGCTCAGAAGCTATCATGCTTGCTCAGTTTCCATACGTGGCTATGCAAATCATTTGACCAGTTGGGGATACTGCAATTTCTGAGTATTTTATCTTACACATTTTAAAATACTTCAGTCCTCTTTTATGGACATTATCTCATACTACGTAGGTCTGACCCATCTCTTCTGGCAGATTTGCCGTGTCTAGGGTTTTAGGAACAGGTAGAATAAGACAATAGTCTCAGTTTGCATCTCCTAAATGAAGGTGGTGATGAGATGCTGGGAACACAACTTAAAATTGGTTTGTTGCAAGACTGGGTCAAAGATGGAGAGAAGTGACCTGGGTAGAGAAGGCAGGGACTTCGGAGTGCCACCCTTGGCTGTTCAGGGAAGGGGTAGGCGGGGATCTCTGGTGTGCGTAGTACTGGAATTAAAATAGCTTTTGTGAAAACACAGCAGTGTGAAACACCCAAGTGGGAACGTTGTAATATGCTGATGTATGGATTTAGGCTGTGTGAGCACAGACCTGCATGCTATGTAACCCTACCCCTGGTGTGATAGTCATTAACACTGAAGTACATATGTATCATGTTATTTTTGGCGTTTCTTTAGAAGAGAAGGAAGCAGAGGAGAACAAGGAAAACGTTGATGCAAGCAAAGACAAGGAGAGTGATACTGGGAAGAAGAAAGTGGAACACGAGATCTCTGAAGGAAATGTAGCAACGGCTGCAGCTGCAGCTCTTGCCTCAGCTGCCACCAAAGCAAAGGTTTGTTGTGTACAAATTTCCGTAGCCACTGACTTCCAGTTTTAATTGGGGGCGCTCGAAAAATGGTCCATTGTTCCAAGTCACGGGGACTTGAAGTTCTGCTCTCTCGTTCTTTACATACAGTGTGTGCGCTTTCACATCCGCTCTCGGACCTCTTACCAAATGAAATCGTTTCCTTGTGATTAGGTTAAGGTTACGATTATAAATGTACTGGAGTCAGTGGACGTTCCTGAGAAAATCCATTTTATATATATATATATATATATATATATCATCTTTAAATGCATAGTTTGTGGGAGTGTCCCATAATGATTAAGATACAGGGAAAAAAGAGGCCAGGCCTGTCGTCTTAATTCTGACACCAACCAGGATGAATTTAGGCAAATTGTTTCACTTGGTACCAAAATTTTTTCATCTGTAAAATAATTATAACACTGATTCACAGGGAAGTTGGCATCTTTATGAAGAGCTTTGAAATCCTTGTGGAAAGCACTATATATGTACATCGGCTAAGATAACATATTTTTCTGTTTGTTCAGTGGTCTTGTATGCTGGTGACATCTAATCAAAAAACTTATTTTTCCTTTGCCTTTTTCACATACCCTTAGCTAAACCCAGGAAAAACAAAAACTATTTATCTGCAGGCTTTATCTAGTAAGTTTGTAGTTGGGATCAGTGTTCCACATGGCAGCTCCTGGTTTATAACATCTATTGTAGCCACCTCTTAAATGTCCCTCTTAATTCAATGTAATGAATGCTCCCATCTACTTCCTCCTCCTTGTGTTTAATGTGCCTCAGCTGCTTCTCAGATCATACTTTTCACTACTGTTCTTTCTCCGTTCACTATTTACTTTTGCCGAGCCTGCAGCAGTATTCTGACACCACAAACTGGTGCAGGTTTTTGTAATTCATTGTAGAAGATTGGGACCAGTTGGGTTTTAAGAGTGGATCACAGCACTGAATTTGCTTGTACAATTAAAGGCTCCAATTAATTGTTGCTCTGGGTTGCTAGCATTGATAGCGTTTATCTACCTGTGTCATTCTGACTCCCCTTTTAAAAAAAAAAAAAAAATGTCATCAGCTAGATTCACTCAAGTAGCATGGTGTGCAACTTGTGGTTCATGCCCCATAGGCCATGTGTTCATTGACAGTCCGTCCGTCCCCCCCCCGCAAGCCCCATTTTCCAGGGTTGAATGTCTTTGCCTTTTTTGTGACACTGAGTTCCTTGCCAGGCTCATGTTGAACAGACAAATGGAGCAGACTCTGGTAAAGCAAAGTTATCTTCTCTGAAAAAGAAACTTCAGCCGGTTACCACATAGTTTTATGAAACAACTTGTCCGTGCATCTTTAGCAGATCCTCTTGTTGTGCGGACAGGCTTGGCTCAAAGGAAAGCTACAACCATGTTCTTGCCTAAAAGAGGGATTTCTTTGTACCTCGCAACAAGCCAAGCTCCTCCCAGAACAAAAGGCTGGCTAGGAATCTGCGGTCGGTTTGTTTTGGAGACCATGTAGTAACCAGCCGCGGTTCTTTATTCAGCGAAGACAACGCTCTGCCTCGCTTTCCCAGAGTCTTAAATTTGCCTGCTCTAAGCATTGTTAACCAGACAGACGGAGACATAATAGCCTGGTTAGGCCTCTCACCAGGTGGGGGACACCCGGGCTCTTTTCTCTTCCCCAAGAAATATTCATTTGTGCAAAGTGGAACAGTTTGAGCAGAGAGGATTTGAGACCCCTGCCTTAAAATGCCCTATTGCTGCCTGGGGTTTGAGACCCTTTCCTGAGCGGTAGGACACCTGGGCTCGGGTCTCTATTCCAAAACAGGCAGAGGGATTTGAAACCAGGTCTCTCTCACCCTAAGCAAGTGGCCTAATCACTGAGCTGCAGGTATGAGGAGTGACACAGTTGCCATGGTCACTTTTCTTAATTTTGAGATCAGTTTACGTTTTAAATGTCAGTGCTACTTTTTTCTAACTGGCTGCCTTACATTCAGCTTGGATGCAGAGGTCAAGCTGTGTTTTGTTTCTTGCAACAACAGTATTGAGGATTAAGTCAGAACGTGCATATTGATGTTCAAGCTGGCACAGAAACACCCCACGTTACCTATGGCAGCACTGCAAAGCAAACAGGAGTGCAGTTTCTCAGTAAAATAAGTAGATCACAAAGCCATTCGAAAGGTACAGTTCTGGCTTGCTTAATCTCTGTCCGTGATGATGACCTTTCCTTACTCCCCTTTGTGCACTTCCGGTGGGAGATGCAGACAGTCTGTTTGAAAATGCAAAGACCCCTTAGTTTTGCCTCTCGGATTTGGACTGTGTTGTTTTTTTCAGGTGCTGGTACAATAGTCAAAGTGGAAATTGGAAGAAAAGACAGTGGGGATGGGTTGAGTTTTTTGGTGTTTTTTTCTTTGTTGTTTATTTGTGGGGGAGGGGTTGTTGGTCCCCCCCACTTTTATGTAATTTCTATAGTACTGTATTATATGAGGGTCTCACCGACTTAACAGATGCTAAGGTTCAACTCGTACCCCCCACCCATTTCACAGGTGGCTGAACTCCAGCATGGATGGGATTTGTTGCTGCAGCGTACTTTAAGAGTCCAGAAGACCTCGTCATAACCTGTTCACTCCCTAGAACCGTGCATTTTCTGCAGGTGGGAACAGTAGTGTAGCACAGCACTAGAATAGCCGTACACAAGAGGAAGTGCTCTCTTTTATTAGGTAGGGTTGCTGTGCGTGGTCCCGTTACTTTTGGGGATAACGGAGCAGAATTGCCTTGCAGACAGAATTCTGAAATGGAAAGTCATGTGAGCAGCCATCTCGCTTACAGGTACAGTCAGGGAAGAGCCGGTCACTAGGCACTCTGAAACGCTTCACAAAGCAATTAGAGCATGAAAGACCTTGGTTAAAGCCAAATTCTGGTTCCATAATGTGAAACTCTTGCAATGAAGTGTGAATCCTTCAGACCACCTGGCCCCCTCGTAAGGACTTTTATTTGTCTGCATCTGCCTCTGAAACCCTGGGACTCCTGCTCATAGCAAAACCTCTTATCTGAATGCTGAGCACTTGCGTTAAAGGAGCAGCTTCACTTCTGCACTTCAGACTGACGGGCACTTTCAGGCAAACAATCAAGACATCAATAGGCCTGAAACCTAATCTTACTTTTGAGAGCCTTCCTGCATCAAATAAAGCTCATTCCTCTTTTCTTCCTTTTGTAATGTGTCAGAGGCTTAATTTATATGTTAAAATCAAAATGACGTGTGTGCGCACATCCCCCCCCACCATATTTTATATCTATATGTAGATATCTATAGACAGTCTCATATATAGACATGCATATATATGGGTCTGTCTATCTGTGTGTGTGTGTGTGTGTGTGTGTGTGTGTAAAATGCATGTCTATATATATAATATATATGGGAGTGTGTGTGTAAAATGCATGTCTATATATATATAATGTGTGTGTGTGTAAAATGCATGTCTATATATATATATATAAAATATATATGGGTGGGTGGGTGTATAAAATGCATCTCTCTCTCTCTTCTTTCTTTGCTTTCACCATTCCTGTAAACTGACAAGCTGTGAGCTTATCAGATACAGTATCACTCTAATGGTTTGCTTTTGTTAATTAAAAGCAGATGGCAAGTAGCTGAGAAAAATATGTGGCTGTTGATTAAGCAGAAAGAAAAAGAAAAGGATTTTGAACACATTAACTTGCATACGTGTATGTGCAAGCATGTGTGTGGTGTGTGTGCATGTTCATATTGTCAGAAAAACATTTTTTTTCTCTTGCATTTCAGCGAAAATGAAGGCTGTTTTTGTGCCAACATTTTCATACAACATTTTTATTTTTCACTGATAATTCTAAACCTGTGAAAAAAGAAGTTGAAATAAAATACATATATTAAATAAATATATATATAATGGGAACATCAAAATGAGCTACTGGTATTTTATTTTCTGTTAAGGTAAACTGTATGGAAATATTTTACCTGTTGAGTCAACTCAGAACATTTTGTTCCATGCCAGTTTAGCCTTAAACTGTGTTCACCTGTACTGAACCAAAAACCACAACCAAAATACATCTTTCCTTCAGTCTCTTCTTGTGCTGACTTGTCAGAAGGTATCACACACATCTCAAGGCTATAATATGTTATAGGAAATGTCATCTACACAAGAATTATAACTGAGATTTGCTTTATCAGAAACCCAGTTTTGGCTTAAAATGGCACAGATTTTTTGTTCAGTTCCTGGTGTGTGTGTGTGTGTGTGTGTGTGTAAAATGCATGTCTATATATATATATATATATATATAGTGTGTGTGTGTAAAATGCATGTCTATATAATATATGGGGGGGTGTATAAAATGCATGTCTATATATATGCAGGGGTTTAGGTTGTAGCCTATGAGTGCTCAGGCAGGCAAATACTGCAGGGTTTAAGACAGAGTTGCTGGGAGGTGTGAATAAGGGCAAAAGAAGGTAGAAGGACACACAGTTCACAGCATGTGAAAGGCCATAAGGTAGAAATGGTCTATGTGGTGTTTGTTGAGCTAGAGAGCTAGAGCCGCCTGGAAGAAGACTTCCTCAAGAACGGCACCATCAAACCCTTGCTATACTTAAGATACATCGATGACATCTTCATCATTTGGACTGAGAACCTGTAATCTCTGATTGAGTTCCATCAGAAATTCAACAGTCGCCATCCCTCCATCCGACTTTCTTTAGCATACTCCTGCACCTGCAAACCCTTGCTATACTTAAGATACATTGATGATGTCTTCATCATTTGGACTGAGAACCTGCAATCTCAGATTGAGTTCCGTCAGAAATTCAGCAGTCACCATCCCTCCATCCGACTTTCTATAGAATACTCCAGCACCAACATCTCCTTTTTAGACACAATGATCAGTATGCAGAAGGGTAAAATACAGACCACAGTATACAAGAAACCCACAGACCAACAGACATATCTGCACAGAACCAGCAATCACCCGAAACACACC